ATGAAAAATATGATCATTTTGCCTATAAATGTCTATTTAAAAGGTATAGTCCATACAAATTAGTTTCAGTTGCTAAAGGAACCATAAATCACTTAATGATAGGTAGATCTATTTATGAGGGACCCAAGGTTAAATGGGTACCTAAAAGAAAACCCCTTTTCTTATAGATATGTCTACAATCACAAGCTAGAAGCAAGAGATGGTACCTTGACAGTGGATGCTCAAGGCACATGACTAGAGATCCAATACATTTGTCTAAGCTCACTAGCCAAGACGAAGGATTTAACACACTCGGAGACAACAACAAAGGAAAAATTATTGGCAAAAAAATATAGGTAATAAATCAAATCTTTTGATTGAAAATATTTTATTAATAGATGGTTTAAAACATAACTTGCTAAGCATTAGTCAATTATGTGATAAAGGTTATAACATCAAATTTGAATCTAATGCTTGCATTATATAAATACCACACATAAATAGATATTTGATAATGTCTATACTATTGATCTTGATAAGTTTGGTGATGAGACTTGCTTTTCAGTTTTAAATGATGATGTATGGCTTTGGCATAAAAGATTAGGTCATGTAAATATGAAACTAATTTTATAAATTTCAACTAAAAAATTAGTAAGAGATATGCCTAAATTAAATTTGTCAAAGATAAAGTTTGTGATGCATGCGAACTAGAAAAATAAATAAATAAAATTTAAAATCAAAGAATCAAATAAGCACCTCTAGACCACTACAATTGATCTATATGGATTTATTTGGACCAATTAATATAACAAGGAGGTAGTAAATATGTCTTTGTAATTGTTAATAATTATAATGGATACACTTAGACATATTTCTTGGCACATAAAAGTGATTACTTTAAATATTTTTTAAAATTTTATAAAATTAGTTCAAAATAAAAGAATTATATGATTGCCTCTATTGGAAGTGATTATGGTTGTGAATTTCAAAACCATGATTTAAAAACATTTGTTGAGAGAAAAAATATGAATTTATAAGAAATGGCAAGAACCATTATTAATGAACATAGTGTACCCAAATATTTTTGGGCTAAAGCCGTTAACACAATATGTTATATCATGAACATGGTTCTTGTAAGACTATTACTTTCCAAAACTCCCTATGAATTGTGGAATAATAAAAGATCTAATATTTTATATTTTAAAGTTTTCGGTTGTAAATATTTTGTTTTAAATGAAAAAGATACCTTAGAAAAATTTGATGCAAAATCCGATGAAGATATTTTTCTTGGTTACTCCTCTTTGTGTAAAGCTTTTCGTATATTTAATAAAAGAACTTTGGTTATACATAATGTGTTCATCTAAGATAAAAAAATATTTGAAACATATTATATGCCTATAGCATCTTCTTAAGCATGATGTGTGTGCCTAAGAAAAAGTATATGAAGCATCCAACATGATCAAAGCGTCCTTTTGTATGTAATATACTAACCTAATAAAAAAAAACATGCATATATAACATTCGACGCATCTAAAATTTTTCTTAGATGTGATGTATCTATTTATGATAAAAAAAAATATTTGAAGTATCCGACATGATCAAATCATTCCTTTATATATATTATATCAATCCAGAACAAAAAATATTCGTAACAATTAGTCCTTTATATACATTATAACAATCATTTCTTTATATACATTTTATCCATCCGTTACACGTGTCTTTCGAAATAAAAAAATATTTGATCAAAGTAATCTAGTGCACTCAAGCCTAAGATGAAAAAACATCTATGCAATATCTATCGAAGTTCCAAGATAGAAATTATGCTTCGAAATAAATAAGCCCTTCGAAATTATGCAATATCTTTCAAGATATATTTTTATTTTAAATTCACTTAACTAAACTTGAGCTATTATGAAAATGATTACAATATATTTTTAATCATTGAAGTGGTCTTACCAAATGTACTCTTAGTGTAAGCTTTTACGAGAATGAGATATGGGTAGCTTTTACCTAGAGAGAAAATTTTATTTGATCAATCATGACTCCTCGAGTGTGGAAACACTAAAAAATGTCTTAGAGATTGATGCTCAATGGAAATAATAATTATTTCATTAGAAGGCCTTGCAAGTATTTGCAAATCTCAAAGAAAACTACACAATAACAAGTGGTACCAAACATCATTTTTTATAGGGATTCTCTAATTTCTAGGAATAGTTAAAAGCAAATGGTTACTGCATCATCTACTATCAAACCTAAACATTCAATGATCCCTATCACATATGGCAGCAGAAAGCTCTCTAAGGAGAGCTAACGTTTAGTGCATTTGAGATACACAAATACACAAAATATTATTGGGGCAAATTTTCGGAAAAATCCTTTGATTTTTTTTATTTTTTCCAAACAAATCCAATTTTATTTTTTTCTATAGACACCCCTATTTTTCAATATTCTAATATTGTCCTTATTTTATTTTATTTTTCTTATTTTTATTTATATCATTTTATTTTTTATTCGGCTCATTACACAAAATCGAATTAAAGATTAAAAAAAATTAATTATATTTTATTCATAATGGGTTAATTTTCTCATTGTAATAAACAATAAAGAATACAAAAGAAAAGGCCAAATAAAATTATGCAGCTAATAGTAGTAGGGGAATAAAGGGCCCCACCATTTACCACCCACGTGTCCCTCTGTGGCTGAGACGAACCTTTCTCGAGGCGCAGCTAGAGCGATCGAGGTGGGTGTGAAGGAGAAGAAGAAGAAGAAGAAGAAGCGCCAGAGTTGGCCGATCGCGGGTTGTAGCATTGGGACTGGTAAGTTGGCCATTGCAGCACTTCAGTTACAGGATGTATGCGGTACATTGCAACTCGTCAATCAAGTATGACTTGTGGTTGAGCTTGAACTTCTCCAGTAGTTGAAGTGTCCGGCAAATGGCACTGCACTATTGCATCTTCACCCAATTTCCTTTTAAGGCATGCAACATGAAAGATTGGATGTATTTTAGAGTTAGTAGGCAAATCCAAGCGGTAGGCCACTAGTCCAATGCGTTCTAATACCTTATAAGGCCCAAAAAACCGAGGAGATAGCTTCATGGAAGATCGGACCTTTATGGAGGTTTGCTTGTAGGGTTGAAGACGAAGGAAAACCCAATCACCCACAGCAAATTCTCATTCACTTCGGTGTTTATTAGCTTGTTGTTTCATTCTTGCTTGTGCGGCTGTGAGGTTATCCTTTAAAAGCTGAATAATCTTATTTCTATCCATCAATTCCTTGTCCACTTGATCAACTTTAGAAGAACCGGGTACATACTTTGTAATTGTAGGTGGGGGTTGGCTATAAACTGCTTCAAATGGAGTCATTTTAATAGAAGAATGGTAAGATGTATTATACCACCACTCTGCCCAGGGAAGCCATTTGACCCATTCCTTCGGCTTGTCGCTAGTAAAGCATCAGAGGTAATTTTCTAGGCACCTGTTTACCACTTCAGTTTGCCCATCTGTTTGCGGATGATAAGCAGTGCTCATATTCAACTGAGTACCTTTTAAATGAAAATTTTCTGTCCAGACGGAGCTAGTAAATATCTTGTCTCTGTCACTAACAATGGAACGGGGACTCCCATGCAATTTAGCTATATTTTCCATAAAAATACGAGCAACACTTATAGTAGTATAAGGATATCGTAAAGCATAGAAATGAGCATATTTTGTAAGTCTATCCACGACTATAAGTATAGTACTCTTTCCTTGAGATGATGGGAGACTGGCTGTCAATGAAATCTATAGATATGTCGGTCCAAGTAGCATCAGGAATAGGGAGGGGCTGTAGTAAGCCTGGGGTGGCTATTGTCTCACTTTTGTGACGTTGGCAAACATCACATTCAGTAACAAATTTCTTGATAAAATTTTTCATACGTTTCCAGTAAAAAAGTTGTCGAACTCACTTATAAGTGCGGAGAAATCCCGAGTGACCAGCAATTGGTGATGAATGGAACTCCTTCAGAATTATTGCCTGGCAAGAAGAATGTGGGGCAACCACTATTCGGCCTTTATAGCGCAAGTTCATCGAATCCCAACTATAATTTGAGACAGAACCTGGGGCTTCTTCTAATTTTTTAATGATGTTTTGGATCTCAGGATTATTTGCCCATTCCCTTCTGATAACTTCCAAAGTCTCGCAAATAGGAATAGAAATAGCTACTAGTTCAGCTTGTTCTGGAAGGCATGAGAGGGCATCTGCTACTAAATTCTCACTCCCCTTTTTATAAATGATCTCATAATCGAATCCTAGTAGCTTTGTGACCCATTTCTGTTGCTCTAGAGAAGAAATCTTTTGCTCTAGAAAATATTTGAGGCTTTTGTGATCAGTGCGTATTTGAAACCGTCGACCAATTAGGTAGGGTCTCCATTTTGTGACTGCATGTATTATGGCTAGCATCTCCTTGTCATAAATAGATAAACTCAAATAGGAAGGGGAAAGAGCCTTACTTGCATAAGCGATAGGCCGACATTCCTGCATTAATACAGCCCCTATTCCAGCTCCAGAAGCATCAGATTCAATCACAAACATCTTATTAAAATCAGGTAAAGCTAGCATGGGTGTAGTAGTCATTGCAGTTTTCAAGAATTGAAATGCCTGAGTTGCCTCGTCTGACCATTTGAATGCATTTTTCTTTAGAAGTGACGTCAAGGGGGCACTAATTTTGCCATAATTCTTCATAAACATTCGCTAATAGTCTGTTAGTCCTAAGAACCCCTTTAAAACTTTGATTGACTTTGGAATTGGTCAGTCTGTCATCACTTAGATTTTCAAAGGATCAACTGCAATACCCTTTTGAGATATGATATGGCCGAGGTACTCAACCTTAGGTTGTCCAAAACTGCACTTGAATTTCTTGACAAAAAGACCATGCTCACGAAGAATATTAAAGATAATTCGTAAATGTAATAAATGACTTTCTAGGGAATGATTGTATAATAAAATATCATCGAAGAAAACCAAAATAAACTTACGGAGATAAGTCCGAAAGTTTCTCCCCCCGGTGTCGACGAACCACCGTCCGATTTCTTTCTCAAGACCCTTTTGCAGGGGCAGGTATTACCGTCCTATGCTTCCTAATAATCTTCTCTTTTTAGCACCTTTCTTTGTTAGCTGACGAAGTTTTGGGGATATTGTCGTGGGAGGATCGGATGAGCCGCGGGCTGTTTCGGTACGATGTGACGGCGTGCGAGACTTGGGTGATTGCCGGGGAGTATGGTTTCATGGCGCAGCTGAACGAGGGCCGCCACCTCAAGAAGCGGCCCACGGAGTTCCGCGTCGATCTCCTCCTCCGGCCCTTGGATCCTACCAAGTTAAACTTCACCAAGGTCGGCCAGGAGGAGATCCTGTTCCGCTTCGAGGCTGGGGAAGGTGACAAAGCTCGGTTCTTGGAGAGTGCTGCCGGTGGATGAAGCCAACACACCCAGTGTTGCCGCGATCAATGTGAGTTCTCTTTCAATGTGCTTTTGTTCTCTGCGCTTCATGGTAGTTATTTCTATTTCTTTTCTCCTCTCTCTTACTGCTATATATTGCCGAGGTTGCCACTTTGAGGCCGGTCATGTGCTCGACTGCTTGCCTCAGAGAATCGACCCTGATAGTTTCTTGCTGGCTCTTCATATGGCAGCAGAAGCAGCAAGGCCCTTACTTCAAGCTCGGGTACAATAGCTTAGGTGCCTTTGCCTCCATTAATCACCTGCACTTCCTCAGCCTCGCAGATTAATCTCTGTTTACGCCTACTGTTGGTTCACACAAGCCAATAGTCGGAGAATTAGTGACAAAAAAGCTTTAATTTTTAACATGCCCTTTCCAGTTGAGAGATCTCCCATGGAGAGGGTTCCAATTTGCTGAAGCTTCGTCTGTCCCAGAGCAGAGTGAAGGTCTCACAATTGCTCAATTAAAGACAATTCCATGGCATTATGCATGTTATGCTGATTCCTAATAATTGGTTCTGAAGCAAAAAGAAAGTCTCTTTCTGAGGCAAGGTTTGAAGAAGTGAAAGCTTCAATCTTTTGAGGCCACAGGTGTAATGGAGTCCGAAGAGAATAAAGGAACACCATTGAAGTCCTCATCTTCCAGGGGGGTGTTGCTTAGTCCTACAATGAGCAAGACGGCCTGAGCTGTGCTTGCTGCATTTGCCTAGTTGTTTCCGAGGGGAATAAGAAGCAGATACTCTGTCTCACCTCGACACTATCCGAACTATCTTCTCTTTGTATTTGTTCTTCAGAATACTTTGCCTAAATATGCAGGTTATTTGAATAAAGCAGATTGTCGATTTCATTGTAGGATTTTGTACCCATTGATAATTTAAGCTTCCATTATTAGCTGGGGTTCTCTTTGTGACGAACAGCAATGGCAGCTTTAATTCTGTCCTTACATTTGTATTCCGACTCTGTTATCTCTGAATGTTTGTGCTTTCTAGCTTCTCTCTTGCATCATCAGAGTATTAAATTGCAGCATTGGCAACACAGAATAATAATGATTCTCCAAAATTCTGGATGGAAACACCATTAACAATGATGTTAAATAGAGTAAGAAAGATTACCAAGCTATTAGGAAGACCAGATGCATGTTTGATACAATAAAGAATTGGACACTGTACATATATTCAGTAGAAATCATCTCTCTTCCTATCAGCATGTTCACACCTCTCGATAACTTTTAGCTCACCATGCCTCCAATATATGAAAAGGAACCCCGTGAAGCAAAAGGTAAACAGCTAAAAGGAGGCATTCGCGACGTCAATTTGCAGACAGGTATGATACGATTGCTCCAATTCTACCCAATCCCTCATCTCATCTCCTTCTTCCTCCTCCTCCTCCGCCTCCTCCTCATACTCATCATCACAATCCTCGAAAAGGTCGTAGTCTCTAATGCTCGGCACTGGTTTTAGACCCTGGTGAGAAAACAGCAAGCAAACCACCATTACCGACTGAAGATTACAGAGTCTCAACTTATAGCATGAAAACTCACATCCATAGGGTTTCTTACCTCGGTGAAGATCTTCCTGGCCTCCTCCATAAGATTGTTGTTCAGTATAAACATAGCGGCCTCCTGAAACAGCAAAGTTAAAAGAGAAACGACGTATCAGGAATCCACCAACACCTCCAAGCACAAAGAATAAAGGAGAATATTACATACCCTCGCGACCTGGAGCTCGGCCACTGTGAGTGTCCGAGGCTCTGCCTCTATGGACGATTTCCTCTCCAGTCCGATGATCGCCATCTCTCCTCTCTCGCTCTGTCCCTTGGTAAGCTGCCACCACAAGAAGAAGCAGAAGAAACACGTAAATGGATTCACCTCGTGTGTGGTTTCTTATACAAGGGAGGGAGGCGGGAGAACGGAACACGTGCACGGTAAACCATGACGGAGCGGGCGCACACCTGTTGCATATATTTGTCGCGCATGATCGCAGGTGGCACGAGGTGGCCACCATGGCGGTGGCCGTCACATGATGCGTCGGAGGAGGACACGTTTTGCCCGCCGTGTCGGCTGCGCCTGCCGACTTCGCCCTCCTCGCCACCTTCTGCACGCACCCACAACATTCTAGATCAGAACACACAGTTCCAGTACGCTTCACCGTAGCCATGCTGTCGCAGTAATCTGATCAGAGTCCAGCAAGCAATAAACACGCACACAAATTACTCGTTCATGCACGACAGTCTCAACCCATATGTCGGGCTTACGCCCGTCAATTTCCCACGCTTGAACTGTTCGAACAGGAAACAAGTCAAAGTCCCCAGGATTGACCGATTCATGTTGGTCAAATCTTCATCACACTTATCTTGACTCGTTAGCTCAACCACATCCATCCCATTTCTTGATATCCCGACACGAATTAGGTAGCAACGGACGGTGCGGTGTGCATCACGCAGACCGCTTCACCCTAACGTACGTGTCAATAAAACACATTTTATTATTTGATATATGTCGTCAGATGGATTTTAATGTCTTTGGATCCGCCGACTTCGTGTGTGATAAATGCATCTAGAAACTGTAAATGAACAAATGGGGGCCACGACGTATCAAACCATCCCGGAGTTCGAACGGGTTGACCTGTCGAGTTGACTCGGATTTCTGTCCCTCGTTGAAGGAGAAGAGAACAGTGTTCTCTGGTACATGTCTTGCTCTCCGGGAAATGTTTGGTTTTGACGGCTTCTTCAACGGTTCCCTCCTCTCCTTCCGCTCACTTTCGTATTGCATTAGGATTCGTGTTTATCCGGATCTCAAGCAGATCGAACGGACCATTACGTTTAACGCATCGTGTTTATTATGGGTCAGTCCGTAGGTGAAAGCTCGCTCGTTGGCGCAGCGTTCTCCTCGTGGGACACGCAGAGAGAGCGCGCTTTAGGAGTTGCGAATTATAGATCAGACGGTGGTAAGGGTTTCCCCGCATTGTATTAAGGTGGGGGTATTTGTTCCATTGTTTCACCACGAATAGTCGCCGGCCTCCTGTTGTTTCCTTTTTAGCCCCTCGCTAGCTCGCTTTTGGGGTCGATTCTGGTTGCTCTTTTTGAGCTCCAATCTCTTCCGTATTCTTTCGCGATTCTCGCTCGGGTTTATGCCATGAAGATGCCAGCTTGGTGGGAGGGGAAGTCGAAGTCCAAGCCGAAACCCAGTTCCAGTCGTCGGTCTGCGGCGGAGCAGGAGCAGTCGCACCCGGTGGACGATGAGGACGTGACGCCGAAGCGCGGCAGCGGGCGCGGGAAGGTGAAAGGTAACATCTTTGACGGGATTCTTGGCTTCAGACGGAGCAAAGTTCCTTCCCCCATTTCCGCCGGCGGCGGCTGTGGAGGTGGTGGCCGGAATGTTTCGGTGTTCGGTCAACCGCTTCCGCTGCCGAAGTCGGTCTCGTCGCCACTGCCGTCTTTGGTGTCTCACGAGCACCCGGCGGTCGCGGGGTCGGCGTCGGCGTCGACGTCGGTGTCGACCTCCAGCGGCAGCTCCTCGGCGTCGTCGGATGAGACTCCTGATCTCGGGTTCTACAGGTATTTTGTTTTGGCTTCCCTTCCAATCGAGTCTTTTGGGGATGGTTATGATCACGTTTATTCGGTCAGGACTAAATTCCAGTTCATGATGCGTCGACGTGAATCTGGCTCGAGGGTTCTCGGTCCAGATGCAAAATATGATCTTTAATCTCTTGATGTTGTTGGATCGATTAGGTATCCGGATACGATCAGCATGCCAAGGGGAAGAAATGTAGCACCTGACTTGCAATCGCCTCAGTATACAACTGAAGACCGGCAGCTCTTCTCCCGCGTTGCAGCTTTGGAACATCCGAAATACTTTGAAAGCTCTGATACTCCAAGAAAAGAGTCACAATCACACGGATTCGATCCTTCCTCTAATGGTAGGACTGCCTACTCTCGTGTCCAATCTTCGGCTGAGACTTTATATGGTAGAAGAACTGCAATTTCTTCCCCTGGGCATCCTTTTCCTACCTCCCCTGTGCATTCCAAAGCATTTGGTTTATGTCCAGTCTCCCCAAGCCAACGACAGGATAATTTTAGGAGCCCACCTCATCCCTTACCTCTTCCTCCAAGCTCCCCTAGCTCTTCATCCTCTTCTTCACGTTCTCCAAGGCTGCAGTGGAAGAGGGGAAAATTGATAGGCAGGGGAACCTTTGGCCATGTCTATCTTGGATTTAACAGGTGCTTATTCCCTGCTCTCTTTCTGCATTGGTGTATGATGCACATTGTCTTTGGAATTTTATAAGCATATAATATGATCCATTAAGAGCAATCAAAGTGGTCTTCTGAAGGGGTTTTGCATTTTCAATTGGAGATATCTGTTATTTATTTTCATTCATATGCACTATGGGCTACAGCTTTTTGAATTAGCATATACTAAAATATACTAAATCTTGACTTTTTATTCATCCTCCAGTGAGAGTGGGCAGATGTGTGCAATCAAAGAGGTCAAAGACATATTTGATGACAAAAATTCAAAAGAGTGTCTCAAGCAACTAAGCCAGGCAATTTCTAATTTTCTTTGACTTGGAGAACATCTACTCCTATATATGAGTTTCCTTTTTGTGCTTTAGTATACAAGGGCATATGCCACTGGCATTTGCAATGCAAATCTTCATCATATCGAGAAAGTTAATGTGAAATATGCTCTCTTCTGTCAGGAAATTGCTTTGCTCAGTCAGCTGTCCCATCTAAACATTGTGCAGTACTATGGAAGTGAGCTGGTAATCTGAAAACATTGAAGTAGTTCTTATTTTTCATCTTTGCAAGAACCTCATCGCATATGCATCTTTCTAATTTGTAAATTAAAATATTTCCATTGTTAGGATGCATCTTTCAAGTTTTGGTTGTGCATTATGGACAAAATTAATGACATACGTGAAAGAGAGACATAAAAGTATAGAAAATGAGCCACAGTTGTCTGGCAAAAAAGTGCTTAAGTTTGAGCAACATAATTATTAACAAACCAGGCCAGCCTAGATCGTGGACATGACATATCTTGACACTTATGCACTCCCTGAACCCAACAAACTCAAATCATTGCAGTTTGGTCTAATCAAATCAATTTAAAACTTAAAAGAAATATGAGCCAAAAATATCCTTTTTTCAACTGGTCTTCCAATGTGATATATGTTCTTCATGTTAGTCATGTAAGATTAATCCTATCCTATGTATGATAATAAGATTAAGCTAGTACTTTTTGTGCATATTCAGTGATAATAATGATTCATGATGGCTATTTGAGTTTTCACTTAACTCAATGATGGAGTGGATAAGTCCAATAGTGTATTTGCCTTCATCTTCCCTTCTTCTCATCCTGCTTGCAGGTCTCTGTATATCTGTGCAAATGCATGAACATACACATCTAACCTAATTCTTGCACAGTATCAACTGAGTAGACCAAGAATTCCCCATCCAACAGTGACCCTTAAAATGAGAGCAAAGTAGAATTCAGAGCTCTGCACACTAATTGGGTTTCTGAATGCATTCGGCAAGAAGTTAGTTAGGTTTGTACATAGAAAATGAAGAAATTACTACTAGAGATATTCATTATTAACCTTGTGTTGATATTTGATAACTATATACATGTTTTACAAGAAAGGATAATAACTATTCTTTTCAAAAGTACTCTGACTTGATTTCCATTTGAAAATTACTCCCGAGAGTTCTTTTTTTGAAAAGTTTATTAGGTTATAAACATATTTCAGTAACTGATTAATTCAGAATTCCTTGTACAGGCTGAAGATACACTCTCAGTCTATCTGGAGTATATCTCTGGGGGTTCTATTCACAAGCTACTTCAGGAGTACGGTCCTTTTAGTGAACCTCTAATCCGGAGCTATACTGCACAGATCCTTTCTGGACTTTCATACTTGCATGAGAGGAATACTGTGCACAGGTACTGGCTGGTGCCTTTCCAAGTTATATATCCTTGCATTGGAAAAATTTTGTAACCAATGTGGTTATTGAAAGTGGATAGCTATTTTGCAGGGATATCAAAGGAGCAAATATACTTGTAGATCCTAATGGTAAAATCAAACTGGCTGATTTTGGAATGGCTAAACATGTAAGCTTCTTAAGTTTTTAAGCTTAAAATATTGTTAGCTGAATAATCTGGAAAAATGAAAATTTCTAGCTGAGATCATAAGTCAGACAAATATTATTCGTGCTTGTGGACTTCTGCTGTATATGTATATATGTAGACATTATTTACATATTATGTATATATACATGTATATTGTTATGTATATATCTAAAAAGAGGTAACAACCTAAACAAAAGTAATTACTTAAGCTTTTTTTATTGTTTCACCAAACAAACAATATTTCTGAGCACAACACTCTTAGCATTGATTAATAAAAAAAAAGAGCTTATTAGGTTATTGTCTAGTTTTTTTGTCAAAGTGACATTTAAAAAAAAATTGTTAATGCAAACATCCATCATTTTCATTCCCAAGCTTATTAGGTTACATAGACTTATAAAGATCTAATGAATGTATTAATATCAGTCTCAGCTTAAGCATTTTGACCAGTGATTTAAGTCATATAAAGTTGATGAGTTAGTTATAATGGCCACTATTTTTGCTCCATAAGATGAACTACATTGATAATCTCCAGTCAATTATCCATTATCATAGGCCTATGTTTATCCAAAAAATCTCTTATTAAGTGTGTAAAAAATTTTCAGTCAACTTTTCAAGAAGGGTACCATATATCTTATGACTGTTTAAAAGATTCATTACAAGTTTTCATTAAAAATATATAATTTATATATGAAATTATAAAGGTATATAATTTATAATACATCTTAAAAATATATGAAAGACATAATTAAGGTAAAGAAAATACAATAAAAAAAATGATCGCACTAGTCTGGTAGGTATCATATGGTTGTACCAAGGACTAAAACTATAATATGATGATAATATAAAATAGGGTTACTTCTCTGTGTGATGTTATTTAATTCCATGAGTGTAGTGCTATTGACGGTGAGACAGATGGTAATATGGTAAAACTGGTTGCTTTTCTCCTTATGTAGGTACTTTCCACTTGATTTGAAAGTGGCATTTTCACTCAGATTTGGCTTATTGGATCTGGCATTCTGCATTCAATTACTGTAGCATGTAACTCAAGACAATTGTGGTGGGATATAGCATCATATTTAATCGCTGTATTAGAAGTCACATCTACAGGAATCATCATAAATTTATCAGTCAATTCCAAAAATACAAATTAGAGTTAACACTATCTATATGTGCTGAAAACAAGCATCACTTTTAGTGACTTTCTAATTTTCAGAATCAGTTGCTTAGACATCCTACATGTGTCTGTTACCTGATGAAACATTTTGTACTTTACTAAGCATAAGATTTTTCAGAAAATTGATTTCTCTGTAATGCCACTTATTTTTAACAACTCATCATGAAACAGATATCATCTTGCACTTCAATACGTTCATTTAAAGGAAGCCCTTACTGGATGGCTCCTGAGGTTTGTTAAATCGATAACAAATGTTGTAGTCTTAAGTCAACAAATTTACAATCATAGATCAGTTTCCACTCTAAACTTTTGCGCAATTTGAACATTCTGCAGATTATCATGAATGGAAGTGGCTATAACCTCTCTGTAGATATATGGAGCCTGGGATGTACAGTTCTTGAGATGGCGTCTTCAAAGCCACCCTGGAGCCAGTATGAGGGGGTGCTATATCCATCTTTTCCTGTTTTCTTTGAGAAACATAAACATCTCCGACATTGAGTGTCATTACTCGTGTAATTATAATTGTACTTTTTTTGAATTACTAGGTAGCTGCCATATTCAAAATTGGGAATAGCAAAGATATACCAGAAATCCCAGACCATCTTTCTTCTGAAGGAAAGGATTTTCTAAAGTTATGTTTGCAGCGTGATCCAATGGCTCGCCCTTCAGCTGCTCAACTGATGGAGCACCCTTTTGTTCGAGACCAAATAACAACAAATGCAGCAAAATTTAATGAAATCAGAGATACTCTGCCTTCTTCCGCTAATAGAAGTACTAGAATGGTATGAGTTAAATATTTATATGTGTTTGCATTTTTAGCTCCTAAAAATAGATGATTCTTGGATGTCCTCAAGCTTCTTTATACTTCCTGCCTTTCCTTGATTGCAACCTTCTTATCCCCCAGTAAACTATATAAAATTAGTTGAATTAACTGCTATAGTTTACCTATAAATTATCGGCTTTATTTTACTAAATGTGTACTTTATCTGTAAAACTTAACTTCAATGGTGCTTATTAATTCATGTTCCATAGTTTTTATTTTTCTTTCTGAAATTCCTGCCAGACAACATCTCCCACACCTTTCTTTCAAATAATAAAATCAAATTTGTGGCGAAAGTTTATTTCTTTAGTTCTGGTGGTTACTGTAAATTGTTCATTCTTTCATTACCAAACCATTTATCATTTCTGATATATGCAGCAGTTGACTGTCGAGCTCTCTTCAAAAGAAAACGCTTCTCTACATGATAGGGAATATGGCATATGTCAAACATCTGGATTTCTCTCAGAACTTCCTTCAGCATATAAGAATTCAAGGTATTGTAACTCCAAACTGGACTGACCAATGGGTTCCCTTTTCCTTGGCTCATGACAATTGCTTTTTTATTATTTTTTGCAGAAACTTAACTAGCTTGAGAACAAACATGTCCCTACCTGTTTCTCCCTGTTCCAGTCCACTAAGGCAGTTCAGACAATCTAACAGAAGCTGCTTGCCTTCTCCTCGTCATACATCTTATTCTTCCGGAGCAGATAACTATAGTCCAGTCAACAATATACTCTATCCAGCTAGATTAAGCAATAACATTTCAAATCCTTTCTCTGATATCGGCTTGCTAAAGGCCCGAACACCATCTGACTCTTCAAGAAGATTGAACCTCCGTTTGTAAACATGATAGTCAGAAACTGAATCCGTTCACTGCAATTGATGGTGGAAAGATTGGAATGGGATACTAAAAGTCCATCCTAGTCCGATGCAGTTGATGACTCAATGGGCAGCATTTGCAATTGATGGTGGAAAGTATTGCTTCATGTGATATCATCTTCCATTCAGGATGGAAGATTTTGGCTAGTTTTGTCGGTTTTGTTCATAAAGTTGTTGAGAGTCAACATGATCAATGTCATGAATATCATATATTTATAGCTTGTACAGAGTATACGTGTTCACAATATATAATTGACCAGTAATTGAGGGTTTTGACAGTGGTAATGAAGACCTTGTTCTGGAGTTGTTTCAAGTTCAGCTTTTTGCTCTGTAGCATAATGATGTTAACAGAGTTGCAAATTCAAACACACAGTGTTAAGTGGAAGCTTCAAAAGTCTTCATGATGGACCTTCTTTTTTGTTTGTGCGCGTGCCTTGATAGTCTTGATCTTACCTGAGTGAGTGCTCAAAGGTTTTTTTCAGCAAGCTTTGTGCATGTTTTTTTTTTATTGCCTTTGAACATGTTACATATGTAGATCCCAATTATTTAGTTCACAGCTTGTCCATATTTCTACCTTTTATAGTTCATGGGACCTTGGTGGAGATTGGTAGCTTTCCTAGTATCTGCATGCTCCTTCCAAAAGATTAAGAAAACCTGGCTGAGTGCTTCTGCTTCATCATCATCTTCTTTATTTTGGTGCTAAGCTCACCAAGCTGTGGGCAGCTGGTGGGCTGGTTTGACTGCAAAATAAGCATGTTCAGTCAACCCCATGAGTCCCAGTATACTATTATTATTTGTGACAAACAAAATGAGTATGATTTGATATTGGACATGGATGGTCCTGTCTCTTGTATACCTACTACAACTGGCATCTAATTACCACACAAACAATAACTTGTATTCATGAGTTTTATCCAGTGAAATGATGACTACTATTCAACTCCAAAACAGAGTTGGCCATCCAAGAATTTAAAGCAGTTTAACTGATCATCTTCAGCATCATGAACAGAAAATTTCAGCAGCAAAGTCAACGAATGATCTCACTGAATGAGATGGACAAGTCAGTAAGAGCACAAGAACTGCAGCACAAGAACTGAGTGACATCTTATTCTTCATTTGCAACATGTTGCCTCATCAGTGGCCATGTCAAACATGAAATTCCAGTGTTTTTTGTCTGAATTATCTCCAGTCTCATCATCTCTTATCCTCAGCATAGCTTGTGTTAATCAAACTATGCTTGGGAGTTAATGATTTGTGGCAGGGGAGATGAAGATGACAAGAAAAGCAAGGAACCACTCACCACAGGCCCTAGAAAGGTGCACTCAAGCTGCCACATGAAGCCTCCCGCATCAGGTGGCATTTCAAGGAAGATCAATCAATAACAAGAACGCTCCTCAGCTGTCTTCTGTGGAGAAGATGAACTGTCCTTCGGATATGCCAAAATCATAGACAAAGTGAAGCGTTCAACCCTACAACACCCTTTAGCAGCATGGACCATGGCAGAAACAATTTGGGGGAATCCAAAGGACAGCCACAACACAGAGAAAGTACATAAGCTGGCAATTAAAACCACCCATGTTCTGCATCTAATAAATGAAGGAAAAGTTACATGGCTGCTGTTTTCTGTAGTTTCAGTTGTTCATGCACTTGCCACTTTAGCTTGAATGGTTGTTGAGGGCTTTCCCAAGATAAAATTCCCTCCTCAAACTCTTCATGTTGGTTTCCTCTTATTTTCCAACTCTTCTTTAATGTCAAAGCCATGTAAGATGGGAAGAGATTGTCCAGCTTGAGATAGTGGAGCTTAAAGCAGATAAGAAGTCCCATCCTGTGCACAGATGTTAACTTCAAGATGGCCTTTTCTGTGGTTTTCTTAAGCAGCCAAGCTTGAGGACCAAGTGTATTCCTACACAAGTAAACCACAAACCATGTGTATTTGCTTGGTGAAAGCTACTCCCAACCTTTCCCACTTCATGACTTAATGGAGAGGGCAAGGTAGTGCATTGAAGGAAAGATGCAATGTAGATGTCCAAGTACAGGATGACAGAGATGTATACTCTCCTAAAAGCATGCCTCCCTTTTCCTCAAAATAAAATCAAAAAGAAAAAAAGTACTTCTTTCAACAACTCTTCCTTCTTTTGTTTGATTAACAAGTGAGCTCTTCAAATATAGTTCATAAACAAGCTACTGATAATCTTTCCATAGAATCATCTGAAGCTAACAAATTAAAGTTTACAAGTGTTTGATCATGTACTCTACCTAATAAATGCTCACATATAACTTGTTGTAAGCATTTATTATGTTACATGTTGGAATGATGATGTCTCCAGAAAAGATATGGTCAGGTGTGATGCTTTTTAATGGCCAAGACAGATTCTGGCTTCTCCTCCTTCATGTAGCCATTAGTTGATGGATCTCATTAAATACTAAGTCAATCTTTGATAGCTTTAGAACCAAAGAGACCAGGCATTTCCTATTCCACAAGCATCCACAAATGCAATGGGGGGGGCCATTCTTCCTTCTTCCATATAAGGAAAACTTGATGCCATGCTTTTTGTGAATCCTTTGATCAATGAGGTTGTAGGAACCTTTCTTGATGTGGTTTCCATCTTGCTATATTTTATGCATGGCAACAAAATAGATAAAAACTTAAGGATATCAATTCATGTATAGGAGGAGTACACTATATATTAATTGCTTTGAACCACATTAGGTATCTCAATACTATATGATTAATAGTGGTAGTTGCCACAGATACATCATATTACATTGACTAAGAGATTCTTAAACTACTTTGACTAGGAGATTATTAAAAAAAAAATGTTAGGTAATATTTTCATGTGTATATATAAAATAGTTGATGAAAAATTCAATAAGAAAATGGCTCAAAACATGAGACCCTTATTAATACGAGATCGATAGAGAATCAATTATATAATCTTGTTACGAAAATAGATAAATTTCTTCGGAATATGAAGTTAATCTTATAATAGCATCAAGGATCATCCCTAATAAAGGATTTGATCAAGTATTCAAGGGTTACAACATAACCTAATTGCAATATATATATATATATATATATATATATATTGCATGTTTAAATTGATTGACATGCCTAAGGGCTTTACTAGATGACAAATTGAATTGAGGCACTAAAAACTTGTGGTAATCATATTGCCATGTTAATTAACTCTGCTAATATAACACAGTTTAATTAGCCATATCCCTCTCTACTACAGTTGACTAGGAAAAATATTATTGGACTTGGTGTTATGCTCTTCAAGAACATAATGTTCACGTAAGCCATAATCTACAGTGCATGTATATTACTGTCAATTGCAGGAATTGAAGATGCTCTTTTACCTGACATGAACAATTTCATGTCAAAATCTCTTTTTCCTAGTTTCTACTGAGCATGCTTCACGTAACATCACTGATTGGAGGTGGATATTTATGTGATGAATACTGTGTGCTATTTGACTCTTGTCACTCCCTTTCCTTGTTTAGATCCGGAGGAACAATCTCTCATCTTAATTAGCTTCTGCAACCGAGGTCATGAAGCTTTCCTCCTCACCCCACCCCACCCCCCACACAGCTCTGCGAACCATGTGGAGGCCTTAAAAGCTTTCCTCCGCACAAAGGCAACCAAATTAGGGTTCTTCATCTTTCTATATTCCCCATCCCCTTATTCTATGTGTGGGTAGTCCAACCGACGGAGAAACCGCTTGCCATCTTTGAGAGGAGTAGATAACAAGTTCTTGAGGGGAGAGATAAGTAGCATCCCTAAGAACACGACATCGCTGATCCCTTCAAAGTCTTTAAATTATTGTCCACCATCTGATCTTTTATGATCATTTGTTGCCACTTATTCCTACCAAACAACGAGAGAGATCATTTCATTCTGCACCGTAGGTATTTCCAAGTCCATGCATTTGAAGCTGCAAGAATCATGATGTGGAAAGAGAGAGAGAGAGTATTGATAAGGAAGTTGTAGAACGGAATGTGTATATATTACTAGTAATAAAGATGGGATTGGTGCAAGTTTAGAGGGAGAAAGTGATGGGGGCAGTGGCCAAACACGCAACTGTAAGGGTGATCGGATAGTTCTTTCTACCTCTCCTTGTCGTGCAAAACGAACAAAAAGGACTTGCCATCCAAACCCTAACCCAACCCATCCCTTTTACTTCTCCTCTTCCTCCACCTGCGCCCTCTTCTTCTCTTTCAGCAGGTAGGGCTGATGGGATCGACGTCGGCTTCGGCCGGATCTGGTGACGCCAAGGCTTGCCCTCGTGGTCACTGGAGGCCCGGCGAGGATGAGAGACTGCGGCAGCTGGTGCAACAGTTTGGTCCTCAGAACTGGAACTCCATTGCTGAGAAGCTGAAAGGAAGATCAGGTGTGTGTGTGTGTGTGTGTGTATGTGTGTGTGTGTGAGAGAGAGAGAGAGAGAAGAAAGATTGTGAGTCACAAATTCTTCTTTCCATGATGTATAGTTCACGAGAGGGAGAAGATTAGTAATCATTACTAGGCTTTTGCTAGTTTAGAGCTTGTTCTTCTTGATGTTGTCATGCTTTCACCACCAGTCAGTTCTCTGTCCATAGATAGAGTCTGTTGCTTCCTAAGAGAAGGGTGCTATTGCTGTCATCTATTTGCAGGTAAGAGCTGTAGGCTGAGGTGGTTTAACCAACTTGACCCACGGATCAACAGAAGGCCATTCACAGAAGAAGAGGAAGAGAGGCTGCTGGCGGCGCAGCAAGTTCAGGGGAACAAGTGGGCGCTGATCGCGCGGCTCTTCCCGGGAAGGACGGACAACGCCGTGAAGAACCATTGGCATGTCATCATGGCCCGGCGGCACCGGGAGAGATCGAAGCTGTTTAGGAAGAGCGCCATCTTCCCGGATCAGATCCATCCGGTCTCAGCTCCTCAGGAAGGAAGCCATCGACGGCATCTCCGATTTGGTTCTGATAGCGACTTCCGCGTCGTCTCACCCTCAGGCTTCATGCTTTGGCGAGCTTTCTCGGGATCAAGGGACTACCCTAGCACTCCCAAATGTAGTTCCGGTGTTCTCCTCGACAGCTCGCAGCTCCATGGCCGCTCGCTTCGCCCTCATCATCAAGCTTACAGAAGCCTCAGCGTAGATGCCAACTGCTCTGACTATGCAGTGAGTGCACGCGACATGGCTCGAGATGGAAGCGATTCAGCTAATAGTAGAGCTATCAGCGAGCAGATCAATGACAGAAGCAAGAAGGTTGCCTTCATAGATTTCTTGGGAGTTGGAATAACTTCTTGAATCCAAGAACCTTTCGACTCCTCGGATTTAGGCTACAGATTGGGGTCCAAATTAGGAGAGACAACCGAATCGGCCGGCCATTATTTTGCTTTGGGGTCTCTGACATATCAAAACATCATCCATTAATCTGACACAAGTCGTGGGAAGAAGTATTACTTCCCCACCATGGATTGCATCTGTTCTCGTTCCTTCCTTCCTCTGTGTTGTGGGCATGAAGATGTGCAGGGTAGATGATCGCATCGGATGGCGGCATATGCATGCACGCATGCATGCATGCATCTCAGTTGTGATTGTTATCATCAGCATGTAATTTATGTAATCAAACTGTGACAGTGCAACCCTAACTATGAATTGCATGAACAGGTTCTGTAATTTGCATTCAGATTTAGCAACTAAGATCTAACCATTATCTCAAGGTTTTCAATGAATGTGCTGAAGGTGTATGCTTCTTAAGATCTAAGAAATGACTAACCTCATTGCTGGTGGCAGATGTTATACTCTACCTATAACCTTTCATATATTCTCAGTGCTTCTTATCCCATCATAAATCATCAATTAAGCTTGTATGTTATAATTAACGATGATTCATTGGCTATAATTTGCAAAATAAACATGTTATGTCGTAATTGAAATATATTGATATTATGTGTTAATTTAGTTAATAATTACATTTATCTGGCTTCTACAGATTGGCAGAAATTTTGTTTATTAAGATATGTAACGGTCTTCGTATCAACCCGTTATAAGGATTAGCGGCCGATATAACGGAGTTCAAATATCTTGGTGAGTTATAACTCAGTTACTGCACGATTCGGGATCTCATCTTCGATCCACGTGTCAGAAAAGCGGACGACTGGCCACCCTGCTTAAGTTCCTCCGCGGTTTACCGGAACGGAATTGGAACCGATGTCACGTGCGCAAGCGACACCACTAAATCACCGTTCATATTCATCCACATCGTCGTCATCGTGCTTTAAGATTCGCGCGCGGTGACAGGGGAAAGAACTCCTCCCCTCCTCTTCTTTGTTCGCTATGCAGCAGACAGAAATGGCTGCCGTGAACTCCACTCTGTCGGCATGCTAATGTGCGTTCCTCCGGTGCATTGTTTAGCAAAGAAGTGTATATACTGAGAGAATTCGTCAGTAGGATATCAGAGATACAAGTCAGAATTGAGGTCTTCTTTTTCTTTGTCAGTGCTAAACAATATCAAAAGCTCTCATTCTTGGTTACAGTTTTCTATCTTCGTATCGATGTCACCTGCAATATTTAGTGCATTCATTTTGATGCCGGGCAAGCCCTTCTTGGAGAATCCTGAAAAGTAGAGTCCATTCTTCCCTTTCCAATGCTGAGGAAAACTTTGTCGTGGGAGTCCTTCCTGATTCGATAGCTCACCTTCGTCCTACATGAACAATATGCTTGAGCTTAGAAACATGAGTGATCGGTCTGAGTTTTATGAAGGGGAAACAAAGGGTTGCACCAAATTCCTTTCCATCACCCAGTTGATTGCTGAGCTTTTATAGCCCGTGGCAAAGATGATGGCATCAAAACACTGGGATTGACCATCAGCAAACACCACGGTCTTCCCTCTTATGCTTGTGATCGCGGGCACCACCTGTCATTCCAATTCAGTTCGTGAGAAGGAAATAAGACATGGCATCATATGCGAGCATAAACCAATGGCTTCAATATGATCACCTGAATCTGCTTTGACTTGATCTTTTTGATGGTGCCGATGTCGATGACCGGGGATCGTCCTTTTGTTTCCTTGGTGATGAAGGGACCTCTCTTTGGTCGAATGATGCCATGCTTTGATAGATCCCCCAACTTTAGTTTGGACAGGATGAGGATGATGACATCAACCTTGAACATTGGAAGATACTTCAGGAGCACCATTCCCACATAAATCATCTCCTTGGTCACTACGTGGAACTGCACATCAGAAGAGACTGTGAAGAACACGTTGAAATGGCTTGACGTAGTTAGGAGATCGTGAGCAGTTCACGTACCGGACTCCGAATTGAGATGGACGCGTATACGCCGAATTCTGAGAGATCGTAAGCGATCTCCATCCCGGAGTTGCCGCAGCCGACGACCAGGGCGCACTTCCCCGGGTACGCAGCCCCCGACTTGTAGCTCGACGAGTGGAAGACGTCGCCGGGGAAGCTGTCCAACCCAGGGAGGCGCGGAACGAAGCCCTCGCCATTCTCCCCGGTGGCCACCACGAGAAACCTTCCCTTGTACAGCTTTTCCTCGCCGGTTACGGTGTCACGGGCTCCGTAACACCGGCGCGAGCGTCGTACTTGGCCACCTCGACTTGTGTTACAGTCAGTAACTGTTCAGCCGTGGCCTCGGGGCCGTCGCGGCTTGGTTCGGGTCCGGAAGGCGGTGGCCTCCGTGGGGGGTGCTCCTTGAGCCTGCTGAATCTCCGAAGGCGATCTTCGAAGGCTTCGCTCCTGCACAAAGGTCGGGTCGGGGTGCTCGGCCCGACCCCTCCGACGATCAAGTTAGCGAAGGACGTGGAGGGGGTTTCGGAGGAGGAGAAACCTCCGTGTCGTCTCTTCAGAGAGTTGAGAGTCCCCCCTTTTGTTTAGGACTTGGGGGTATTTATGGAGGGATCACGCGTTACCTGACTTGACCGCCTGCTGGGGTGAGGCGGTACCTCTGATGGCGTCTGACGCGGCCGCTGGGGTCGCGTGGCGGAGTGGCTCGTAGCAGGGTATGGGCGAGGGGCAGGTTGTTGTCCGGCCTGGCCGTGGTCAACCATGCAGGGTCGGGCGTCGCCTCTCAGCAGCGGGAGTCGTCAGGGCGAGTCTATTCGGCGTTATTGCTTTGGCCGGGGGCTGTCGTCATGGTGCGTCAACGTGGTGCCATTATTTTCCCTATCATATTCCCCCCCCAAAAGGAGCCATGCGCCGGTGGGGACGGGAGCTCGAGGCATGGCTGCGTCTCTTGGTGTTGAGGCGGCCACGGGCGATGGGCGGCCCAGTTCATCTTGTTTTGAGGGGGTTGTGCGACGGAGGAGCGGGGTGACCGAGCTGGGATGCCTCGGGCATTAAGCGATCGTGGAGGTGGCCTCGGGCATTAAGCGACCGAGGATGTGGCCTCGGGCATTAAGCGACCGAGGAGGCCTCGGGCATTAAGCGACCGAGGAGGCCTCGGGCATTAAGCGACCGAGGAGGTGGCCTCGGGCATTGAGCGACCGAGGATGCCTCGGGCATTGAGCGACCGAGGAGGTGGCCTCGGGCATTGAGCGACCGAGGAGGCCTCGGGCATTAAGCGACCGA